CACTAATCTTGGGATGATTTTTATTTGTATGCTTTCAATCACAAGAATAAAAGGTTTAACTCTTTGAACTCAAGGTCTAACGTTGTATTAGATGTTGAGTAGAGATCATTTTATTCGTGATTAACGTTAAGGCTTTGTTCTCATCCCCAAATCATTTTGTGCATAATAACATTGACAAGTTTCGTCAACCGTTGTTTCTTTGCACAAAATAGCCGACATACAAACATTTTTCAACATAGCTATGATTTAACATGTATGCTTTTATATCATTATACAATACGTATTCATACCATTTTCTACCATGGTAAGTTTTATTACTATTCCCAGTTATACCTCATTGGTTTTCAATTGTACCTCACTGGTATTTTACTTATATCTCGTTGGTATTCAACTCATATCTCACAATAACTTCTTACCAAGTTAATCTGCAAAATATAAACATATCAATCACTTTTCCGAAGATTAATCATCTTCTTCGTGATCAATATTCCACAACAAAATCTTCTCTCCCGAAATAATATAACATTATAATTTAGACCAAACTATAATATATGATCATTTTCCAACCGAAAAATATCTACACATCGAGAAAAGATTTCTCGTTTGTTTTTCAACCAACAAGACACAAACAACACAAAGCATCCTGTTTATGTCCAAAATACCATGTTAGAGAAATCTCCGATATCGTCAACTTGTACCATTGAAATCCGATATTCACTGATCATAAAACCCGATCAGTTTTTTATACATGGATTTAACAGAGACTTTGAGTATATTATTGCTTCATTATCAACATCAACCATTGAAGTCATAGAGCCCAAAATAACGCTTTTAGATTGTTGGAAAATAATCGATTGATTTCTATGCATGTTTGATGATTGAATCTAGTGTAGATTGCATGTTTCATGTTGCATAGAGTGCAGGAGTTCAAATTTTGGGTTCACAGGAGATTTCGGATCAGTTTCGGATCTGATCGGGGGCCGAGAATACGGTAGAACGTGATCTGATCACGTTCATGAACCCTGGACGGCGGGCCGGGGTGGCGGACTGGAGCTGTGGAACGGGAGGTTGAACATCGAATTGCAGGCCTGGACCGGACGGTCTGAGTGTCAGAACGTCCGTTCCAGATGCTGAGGCAAGACCGTCCCGTTCTGTGGCTGGACCGGTCGTTCTGCGAAGTGCGGACCGTCCGTTCTGTCTCGCAGACCGTCCGTTCCATGGCTTAGAGCGGACCATCCGTTCTACAGTCGTGGACTGTCCGTTCCGTCCCTAGCAGAACGTCCGTTCTGCTTGGCTACTGAGAGGAACGTCCGTTCTAGCTTCTGAAGTCGAGACTGAACGTTCTGCCATCCTGGAACGTCCGTTCTATCTTTAGAACGGACGGTCCGAGGTCCAGATTCCAAAATGTTTCGTTTTCAAGGTTCGATTATGCAATTGTTGCTTATTCTGATCAACTGTAACTCAAATAGACATGATTTATTCTTATGGATGGCCCATAGTGAATGAATGCATGTAACTTAATCAAGATATTGGATATGCTTGATTGAGTGGGAGCTCCGGGATTGGGATTACATAATCGAATGGATGGTCTATTCGGATTATGAAAAATCGTTGCACAGAAACCGGTTAGATCTAGAAGCTCTATCAGTAAAGCACTTGTCAAGGCCTCGATCGTACGTATCATGGGCCATGCCAAAGCTCGGTGTGCCGTATTATCTTGGTGAGGCAAGATGGAGAAATGGTGGTTCTCATAGCTTGAAAGTAGATGCTTGATCTAGGTGCGGTTTCGAAAATCCCTTATTTATGTAATGCTAAGTGTGTCCCTCCCATTACTAGAGCGCCTGTCAAGACATCGATCGTCCGTAACACGGGTCATGTCAAAGCTGAGCGTGCCGGATTATCTTTGTGAGGCAGGGTAGGAAATCGTGGTTCCTACAGCTTGAATATGGTTTATCTTGGGTAAAGTTGTCAAGTTTTGACTTGAGACTTAACGGTACAGATGAGACAAGCATGCAATGATATTCGATATCATAGTCTCATAAAGGATCTAAGAATCACATTGGATGTGATTGACATTAGATGTCTACCTAAATAGCATAAGACTGAGTGTAAAAACTTGTTCTTATGTGAAATACGGATCTTAGTCCCATATAGAAAATTATTGTAGGGTTAATTTTCTTTATGGGAATATAGCTCATCTTTGCATCTGTGTTGTCATTGTTTGATGATGGACTACCTGGTAGTGGATCATAGATAGATTGACACTGATTGATGATGAACTAGCTGGTAGTAGATCATT